ATCGAGAACGCATGCCACACTGGAGGTGTTGACAATAGATTTGACTCGCCTTGCCCTTTTCACGGTATACTGCACTGTTCACTGCATAGCTAATAGTAAAAAAGGAAATCAGTATTTTCGGCAAACAACATTGTTGTTATGTGATGACTTCAAACAAGAGGATTATCATGATGCCCACTCAGGTGTATTGTAGACACTCTGACAGAAGCGCAGAGATCGTTTGTGCCTTTAAGTACAAGATGACCTCACTCGGAATAATGCAAATCCAATGCAAACTACACGCAATGAGGAATCACAGTACTCAGCGCAACTTACAACCACTTACGTTTAAGAACGGCCAGACCTATGATGAACACGATGGAAACTATCGTATTAGTTCGAGTACGATCCCCGTATTCTACTTGCACTTAATGCCATTTGTATTGGTCTATTTAAACGTGTTTTTCTTTCTAAGTTCTTCCGTTACCAATGTTCTACTGTTTTGTGTCGACCTATATCCGGAAATGTCTTTTTCTTCCATGTTCTAATTTTCGAATGTTACTTACATGCAGTACGATATTACTATATGTAATGCGGTAATAATATATGCATACGATAATATACCGAAAAACATTTGAATGCGCCGACGTCTTCGCGACATTGTACATACTGTACAGCATTTTTTGCATAATAAAAACTTTCGCAGCGCAGCGACCCCCGCTGTGCACAATTATTGATGAATTCAACAATAAACATGACTGATGTTTATTCAAATCGTTAATCCAGAAGCGTATTAATTAACTATGTAAGCCGATTATTTGGTCGATACAAGGTTGAAATCGAACTTTTATTAGCAGAGTAATTTCAAAGGTCCTTCCCTAGCTTAGGACGCGATTCGAATCTATATATAACGCAAATCAGGATATTCTAGAATGTTGTCGTCCACCCAGCGTCACTAGTGCTCGAAATAAGTAATCAGGCGTCGAACTATAGATTTTTTTCCTTACGTACCCAGCCTTTTGCAATGCCTTTACTATGAAATAAGTACAGTCTACTAGATTTTTTTCAAGAGAACGTTCCCTTTATTTACCTTTCTTTATATCTATGATATGAGGGCGCATTGCGTATCCTATCCAGACTAAAATTTTTAGTTAAATCCTTTTTGAATAGTCTTTTATGTGTAGGTAAACCGTCAGGTTATGTTCGTAGCCACCTCGGATTTCTTGACGAATTGCACTTAAACGTTCTCTTTCCCTCTTTTCTTTCTGCATATATCTTCTGCATAGCAGATGACCTCAAAATCCCTTTTTTTTTTTCGAAATATCGTATTTCTGTTTTTCATGTCACCAGAAATCACTCTTACTGCTTACCAAGTAACGCCGTGTTCTGTGTCACCATAAATGTTACCAGTAATAACTCTCAAGCTAAACTTACTAGCCCCCGATCACGGTTTACATAGTTCGATTATATATGATGATGATGATGACGATGACACTACCATCAAATCGTGCCGTAATAACGGCACTGCCATATTAATATTATCAAGTATCCCTTCTTCACATTTGACTGTCGTCTTATGTACGATAAATATACATATTGTAGGAGGTGTAGTTTATATATTAATATGGCAGTGCCGTTGTTACAGTACGATTTGATCGTATTATTATCAGTATCATGATGAATGTTTCATCTTTTACTACTCGTATCATATCACTAGCTAGATCTCACTTTCGTTACATTTTTTAAGTCATGGACAAAATTAGCGATAACACTGTGTTCACCACCCGTTCTTGTAAACTATCATTTATTATTATTTTACAGATCAGACTTCTAACCAAGTAGACTACAATTGTACGCTAGTTTTAAAGTTGAATTGCTCTTTAGTTCTGATAAGGAAACAACTTCTTACAGTGGTTGTTTGAGCGTTCATTATTACGGTAATTTATTTCCACTCACTCGAAACGATTCAGTAAGGCCGTACAAGGCCTTACTGTCTCAAGCAACTGTGTTTGAGCTCTATTGAGTCATAACAATGTTGAAGTTAACAAATAAGAGGCATTTATTTTTTATAGGTGTATGCTGTACTAAGTCATGTAAATTATATACGTATATAAAAGCGTATATATGGCTGTAATCTTCGAGGGTCAAAAACTCGACCACTCAGTTATTTGAAAACTAAAAGATGCTTTTCTCCTGGAGTAAGCTCAGTCAATTTGCATTCTCAAGTTTATAGAAGAGTAATGTATGTATCAGAATTTCGTCTGCTAACGATGCATAGTTAAAAAAATTACTAAACTTCAGAGTCCGCAGGATTCGCTGACAACGGCCTAATATATGTGATCGTCGACAACGAAGGTCTGCTATCTGATGCTTCTATTAACTGTGTATTTGCGAGTTCTATTGTACACACTTTTGTTAGACTTTTAAGTATAATATTAAAGTTGCTCTTTAACTTAGGGACTAACTAGGAAACACCTTATATTCAATATCTGTCTGGCTATAGCCAACTCCGGTGATCTAGTGATCTGTTAAAACAGCCAGCGTGAACTAAAATTCTTGGCTGCATTTTAAAGTATCAACGATAAACAATAGCTATCCCACGCTGTACTTCTTTTGTCTGTTGTTTATTTAATAGTTTAATGAAAACAGCATTAACTTGTCCTTCGAACATGATATATATATATATATAGATATATATATATCATAGCTTGACTTGTTTCCTGGCCGCTTTTCGTACTGCCTTCCAAGTTAGCACCTTACGGCACATTTCGTAATCCATCAACTAACCAGCATTCGTCTTTAGTGTTTGGACTCCCAGAAATTTACGCTACGGGATAAATACAATTATAAGTTAGACAACGCAAGCACTTCCGCAAGCATTATTTGAATATATAAACTATATTCTTTTGTCTACGTAATCGATACAACATTAAATAACGAATCTATCGTGTCAAACAACATCGTGCACAGTAAAATAACGTGGATGCAAAAACAAGATACGAGTCTCAACTATTTTCAGGACTGGGTGCGCTATCTTGAAATATTAATCTCCTGATGATCCTAACATTGGAAATGTGTAGATGTGTAACGTTGACAAAATTCATATTAAAAGGTTTTGTTTACATATGCTCAGGATGGTTACGAATGCAATCGATCATTTCCTTAGGCGTGATTTCTCCCGTACAAATGCGATGAATGGCGACAAACAATGGAAACCGTTCTAGTTGATTTTTGAGCTTGAGCATTTCGTAAACCTGCAATACGGTGAAGATTGTGAAAACGTGTTAGAAGTTTGGAACGTTTAGCAAACAGTGCTATTTGGAAGTCTTAAATGAGGACTTTTTACTATGTTCAAGTATTTGTTTTCTAATTAAAGATTAATGTGGAAAAAAAGGCACTATTTCCCCTTTACTACTTTACGTACTTTAGGCATCAAACGTTATAAGATTTAAAATCCTTTTCAGGACTGAACTTTACCACACAACCACCCATAGTGAGTGTAACTTGGCTTTCTTTTCTATGATTGCAAAATTACTTGAGCCTGTAACCTATACGTATTTCGTTCACGCTCTAGCGTACCTCAGCGGCAGTTTCAGGTCCTTGCAACTTTTGACCCTTAAGCATCTCTTGTTCGAGGCACTCAATCGTCTTTTTGCCTTCAGCGCGAACAAAAGCTTCGGACACCTTTCGGTTGCGGCCGCCTAGACAGTGAAAATACATACAAAATAAAAATAAAGATAGATATGATCAATACGTCCGAAGATCTCTCAAGGAGAAGATTCATTTTCAAATTGATTCAAAATGATTTTCAAGTTTGATGTACTAACATTACGAACCTTATTGAAAAAGGATGTTAAAAGTTACATGGATAGCCTCTGCTACAACTAGTACATTATACATACAAACCTGGTAAAGAGTACTTACATAATCAGAACATGAATACTACCTAGAAGATCATAGTACAATGGCGAAAACATACCGTAACAGGTAGTCACAAGATCGGCGACTCCACAGCTTTCAAAAAATGTATTGAGCTTGGCGCCGGGGTAAAATTGGTTCGTAAAGGTAATCATCTCCTTCAGACCCAGACGAATAACAGCAGCCTTGGTATTGTCGCCATAACCTAAGCCATCGACGAAACCTGCGCCGCAGGCCACAATGTTCTTGACGGAGCCGCACACCTCAATAGTCGAAATGTCGTCGGTAGTCGTAATCCTGCAAAGAATGGAATGAGATCATCAGATCAGGGCAATTCAGGTTAATTGCAAGGTCACAAATTTAGGTTGCCTTCTAGACGAATCGTCCACTTGTAGTAGGAGGAATATGTTGGTAGTATTACGATTACTGAAATAAAAAGCCATTCGCAAGGAAATGTATGGCGTTGTTTGAATATACAACGTCGGGTCATCGTAAGCGACATATGCATATATACCTGAAATAGCTCGTTTGCACAAGCTTCTTGAGAATCTTCGCTGTGTCGGGATTCTTGGCTCCAAGGGTTGCCTCACAGAACTTCTCGGCAGCCACCTAAATCGAATCGAGACGATTTGCTAGAAACATCCATGTACATTTTATATGAATAGTACTAATAATGATGGCAATAATGCTGATACGCCAAACATAATCTGAGCAAAACTAAAAGAGTATATACGCGGAGCATAGCTTCGAAGATCTTTCAAATCCACAGTGAAAATAAAAAAATATTTTTCTAATAAAAACAATTCGATGATACGAAACAAGATGCCCCAGATATTATACTAGCAACAGATCCGTTTGTATGAGCCGAACTAGCCATAGCAACCAATGTAAATATAACATACATAGGCGCTGCAGTACAGAACTCGTTAAACGCATCGAGTACCGTTGTGGTCAGCCGACTTACTTCGTTAGCGAGGTTAGCCCCCATTAAAACGGAACACGGAATTGAGAGAAGCTCACTGATCACGTTCGAGATCAGGGAGATTCCCTTGCCAGGAGTGATGTCGAAGCCTAACAACATTGAAAAGCACAAGTTTTAGGCACAACATAACGAATCGTTTGATAGAGAAAACGAAGAGATTATCGGAATAATAGTATCAATTGTTTTACTTGTCTCTTTATTTATGAACTGTATTGTAGCAGTAAAGACAAACAGGTGGATTTGGCTATGAAATACGGTGGATGTTTGTCTAGAACCCATTAGTTTAGCTAACTTTAATTTTCCTATAGAGATCCTGCAAGATTCCTTAATTAAACGATTTTCCACTCATGAAAAATATCCCTTGCCGATGGCTTTCTAATTGATTGCTAATAATTAAGTTTATTAAGCTAATATAATCACTCAGCAACGAGCAACGCAATTCGTTCAAAAGTATGGCTCATGAAAACTGGTTTATTTTTTCATACTGCCGGCGTACTTCAAGTTAGCCTCTAGTTATTCAAATTAGCCTCCATTATGTTTTTTTAGTTTTTTCATAATAACCGCTATTGTCGTTGTTTACCTTTAATTAGCGAAATTCCCACTGCCGTAGGTTTGATTTTACCGACAAGCGGGCTGCATGTCGGCTTAACGAATTTGTGTGGCAAAACGAAAATGATGATATCGGCGTCTTTGCACGCCTCCACTACGTCAGGGATAGCAATAACGTTATCGGGTAGCTGTAAACGCGTCAAGATATTCAACTGTGTTAATTCATGCTGCTTTTTGTTTTTGCAAACTTAAACACAGTCAATCACTATTCCGGTTCTGAATTATGGTGATGCTTATAACGTTACACAGAAAATAATATACAAAAGAATAATTTCATTAACGGATGGTATTTAACGTACTTTGTAGCCGGGAAGATATTTGACATTCTCATGCTGAGTGTTAATTATTTCAGTGAGCTTCTTTCCATCGATGATCTCCTCGTAAACATAGATTTTAACAGTCTTGTCGAAGACATCCGGCTGTGAAGTGACATTTACACCGACGATTCTGGCTATTACCGAGCCCCTGTTAACCGAAGATAACGATTGGGAAATCACAAATACTATCAATGATCTTGCTGATTGACTGAATGAACACTAGTGCACTGTAGTAGAAGTAAACAACTCACAATACTATTGTGCGTATGAATATAGTCATTGGATGAATAAACGAAGTTCAGGTGTTTACGATGAAATAAAGCATTTTGTATTTAAGGTAGATTTTATTGGACTTCGCCCCATGCCCGTTTCCCGTTTCATTTCGAGGGAGTGTCCCGCGCTGCTGCAAATGGTCTAATCGTTTGAATCGCTCGCAGCTCAACGCTCGCTGAGGCTGTGCTTGCCAAGGAACGGACGAATAGAGGACAAATAACTGATAGTACAGAATAGTTGTATATGTAAAGGATCCAAAAAGATATTTTATTTTTGACCTCGGGGTATTCGGGATAAATTTATATGGGACTGATATTCTTTTTCGTCGGCGGAATCTACACAGATTTCGACAAAAATATTTGCATGTACCAAAAGACCTGTCTCTGATTGGTGTACAGATTCGATAGCGTTTGCTTTCTCACGGCTTCAATTTAGAATCAAACCAAGATCAACTTTTGAGGCTTATCCGGATAGCCCAATCACAAAGGATATTTTCAGCTTCAAAGCAGCCACTAATTTCCGCATAAAATTATGGAATTATGAGAAACGCCTTCTAATACCAAGTCACTTATCAGGTAATTGAAGGGGGTTCAAAATAGAAACATGTTTCTCCTTTGATTTTTGATTATTTGATTAGTTGCGCATATTTCAAGCCAAGAAAAGCTAGTTGACAAAAAAGTGAAGGGATTACGAATTGATATATAAAGAGGCGGCTTTAGATAGTATTGAATCGAAGCTGTATTATGAGGTCGTGTTATGGTGTACCGGATGCTATTTTAATCTTCTCATAGGACACCCGCAATTGCCACAGCGACGTGGGTAGCACATTAAGGAACAAGCCACGATTAAAGCACACTGAAAATATTAGCTGTTGTACCTAATTGCGCAAAAGATAGATTAAACCTGGGAAAATAAAATGGCTTTTCAAAATTAAATCCTTAGCGTAATTTGTTCAAAAGGTCGTCACGTCAGTCCATCAGGCAGGACTTGTCCGCGTATCAGGGAGCATTTGCTTAAACACAGCGGTTCGTAACCTGGCTGTAGATCAGAAATGCTGATGTCACCTTAAACCTTAAGCAAAGCTTCACATCAACGTCTTTTTAGATATCAAAAAATATTGTCCGTATGTGAAGAACATATTGCAATAGTAACAGTCATTTCGCTTTCAACAGGGTGGTCGTGAATCATTAAACCCTGTTTAAGCATTCTGTTTACTCGTCATTTGACGACCGTTTACTATATGTGCTTTTGTAAGACTGCATGCGACCAAACAAGAGACCGTAGCGCCAAGCAAATGATGTTGCATACTGTAAACACAGCAAAGAACAGGGGGCAGTAAAATGACTTCCAGTGTTATAACGTAATGGAATGCATTCAAAATTCACAAAACATATAACTTACGAAACAGCCGAGTTACACCGGAGCCTAGCATGTGGCCAAAAGCCAAATTTGAAACTGGTCAATCAATATATCGTCAAAAAGTCTATTCATTACAACTGAGTTGATTGTATCCAGATTTAATTGCGTTGTTTCAAATAAGCTTGGCAAGCAGGCACCAGCAAATGCTTTTTCCTAGATTGTGTAGATTAAATATATTTCTGCACCTCATCACACCTATCACAGAGTATAAGTTGGACTAATTAAGACTCAAATCAGCGATCCCCACCGTTTTTATTGCACTCAATGGTGGATTAGATATGTGAATTAAAATTAAAATGCGGCCAAATGCAAGAACTGACAAAAATCAGTTTTTGTTTACTGAAATGATTATGCACATTTATTATTCGTGTAAGACAGAGTTAATTCTAACGAGTTATTTTATTGCCTATAAACTCTTCTCTCTCTTTCTGATTTGTCTAGTTCGTTAAATGTTGCGCGAAGAGCCTCTGAGCTCTAACAATGAAGCAATAACCAGGGTGCCTCGAAGAATTTGTCTTAAGCAGTGAGTCCTCTTTAGCAAAACCTTACCTACTAAATGATCACAAGAAACTTGATACGTATAATCCGAACCCAAAAGGTTCAGCTGGAAGGCTTTTTTCAACAGATTAGGTCGACAGTACACTTTCGCTAGCCTTGAGAGAGTATCCAGTCACATGACAACCTTTAGTCAATAGTAAGCTTATCTTGTCACAAGATGGGCGCCTCCTTTTATCAACTACTCTAAATCGCACTTCCACCCCCGTTCGCTTTTTTAAGACTACGCCATTTTTGTGATGCTATCTTGTATGCCGACCAATGACATACTCCTAGGATGCAAATCAACTATATCGCCTAGTTCATATCATTATAATTTCAAAAACTGCAATTGATACGCCCCGCCGCTGTCCAGCACACGGCTTTCATCGAAGTCAATTTGCGTTCATTCCATAATTGCCACTAGTAGTTTGTCAGGGCAAGTTGTTTGCCAATATTATCTACAAATATGTTTACTCCATCTGTTATCAAACTAACAGTAGCTCATTTTTTATTTTTCTCGAGATATAGCAGAAACTATTCCATAGAACTACCGCGTTCTTAGACACCCGTCGCGCGGTTCTGTGCTCTGACAACCATCCGATCATCAGAATTAAACGCGCGTTCTGCATCCCTTTAGTAACGCGTCTCACTGACTTTGCGCTCTAAGGAGAGGACCTCCACTCGAGATATCAGATTCAAAATGGTCTATTGTATTCGGATGTGCAAGCGGGTTCCACAACCATAGGTTTTTGTGCTTCTGCGGTACAAATAAAGCTAGTAGCTATTGAATATGTTTGTTGTTAGCTGCCGTTCTTTCGGCGACTGTGGAAGTTGCTGTGATTGTGGGACGGCGGTGACTGCACGAAGTTGACCGTTTGATCTATAGAGCTCGTTATCGTTGTATAGCGCAGAGTCTTTAGTGTAAGCAAGGACACTATTTTAAATTATTAGAATTATTGTAATGGTTTTTTTGACGATATATTATTTAGTCTGCTTTGTGGCTAAACGAACATAAAAAGATGAACCAATCTTTGAAACCAAAGTATTTGCTTGAGCCTGCTGTTGTTTTTAGGAAAAGCATTCCATAGTCGATGGTTACCGTCCTAAAAACTAAACAGCGCAAAGTATACACTCAGCAGATGCTCAGCAAAATGGCAAACATATTCAACACAAATCAAGTCCAAGGGAACTATTCGATACGAACAGCAATACCAATGTGTGTGTCAATCGACAAAGATTCTGTCATCTGGATCCTAGCACAAACAAACTTTATCCATTGTCAGTGTTGGGCGATAATAATAGGGTCCTTAACACAAGAGCACTAGACAAATCCGTCAAGAAAACAGGAAACAGTTGATAGTTGATACAACACGCTGGTGACCACTTGGCCTATTCGATAAGCGTCTAGTTACACATCTAAGTGCTTTGCCCCAACGATAACTTGAATTAGCTAAGCCTATAAGTGGACGATTGTGCTGGAATAGCAGATGTCTACATAACATCGCTACGACAACAAGAGGCAACAAGCGCAGCGAATTTGGTAGATCAATTTTGGCCGAATAGACTATCATATTATACCTCATATGCACAATCCGACGCATACTACGTCGTATTTATTTTTCCAATGGGTGGTAAAGTTTCGTTTTTGCTACTGTAAATTTTAATATTTGTACCATTATAATTATATACAATACGACCGCATGACATTCGGTACTAGAGTGCGTCCCAAAAACTGTATAGTGTTTGAATTTCAGTTTCAGCTTCTTATATGGTTTAAATTAAAAAAAATCCCCATAAAATACACAACTTTTGCTTATATCGCAGATGTTCAAATTGGTAGCCATTTTGACCATTGGACTGATAATTTATTGATTTAAAAACCAATTGCAGCTCTTAAATCCTCCAGTACCATCGCACTGGAAGACTTTTTTGCGGCGCTAACTTTATTTTTGAGGTCGAATCACTGAAGTTCACTGGTGTTACGTCTAAGAGATGGACACGATATTCTATAGAACGCCTTCGTCCAACCCTTTTGTTTGTTTTTTTTTGGAAGTTTCTCATGCTCCATATCGCGATGAAAGTTCAAGCGATTCGGCCTGCTGGAAATGGAGTTCGCTATCTTCATAAAATCCTCGCAATGCATGGCCATAAATTTACGCAACTGGCATTAATCATTGCCAAAAACAATGGTTCAATCACACTGTGTACATTTTTGGTACATCCTGCAATATATAATAACACAGAGTACTACGTAGCTAAGCTTATCAGCATCTAGCTGGTTATGGTCAATATGTGCTCTTAGGATCACGGCTGTCCCAATGTTTTAAGTCAAAACTTTAAACTACAAAAAGTCTCGATTACTTCTTACACCAAAGACAAAACAACTTATCTAAACATTGGATCTGCGTATTCTGTGTATCAGCATAAAAATATCACCATGTTTCCTTTCTTCTTCTTCGCAAATGACACAAAACAGATACCCTGACAGTCCACTAAAAAAGTAATAAAAAACCTCACTTTTTGTTATTATATGGATTTCGCTATATACTATTTATATGTAATAATTTATACATTTTATAAATCTAAAACAAGATGCCTATACATCGTTAATAGAAATACCTCGATTTCACACATTTCATTCTTTCAATAATTAGCTAATATGTAAAGCACTTGCACATGGAAGTGCCATAAGAAAAACCGCACAATTTGCTACTAATTTATGTAACAAAAAATATGACTGAATAAAGACACGAAATTAAATAAAGCATTTTTTAAACATGAGAAACATCATCAATGATTGTATAAAACACGTAATAGTTAAGATGTAAATATTTATTAGATTTTTAAGGAAACTACGGACTCCAAGGGTCGAATTAGCCGACAGTAGCTAGCCTTAGATCATCGGATCACCCATAAAACTGCTATGACCTCTTAAACTTAGAGCTTAGATGATGATATCATCTTACTATCTTGGGGGTTTTTGTTCAAACCATCAACAACGTTTTTATAGCTTTTGTTTCGGAACAAAGGCTACATTTATTGCTCCCAATAGGCTATCGTATTCTAATTTTACATATACTATACACAAGAACACTTATTCTTACCAATTAATACAACTATGGCATACCATTGGAGTGTGGTTATGTTTCACAAGATTACTATCACTAGATTAGCGAAAAGCGTCCACATTTGTAAGTATGTGAGAGGTACGTGTACCGGCAAGGTGACCTAGTTCACTTAGACAGCAAGGGAATGATGATTCCGCCGAAAAGCAAGCACTGAACACGTTTTTTTTCTTTTAGCATTTTCTACGATTGAATAGCGTAACAAAGGCCATTGTTGTTATCATTCGGAATAATTCAACGGTCATCGAATAGGAGCAATATAATTATTGAAAGGTAGCTTTGAATTATATCGAAACGTATCATAACACATGTAACCTATAATCAAACACAAATCTTCTTGAACCACCAATCAAACATGCGGAACTCACAATAGCAGTGAAGTTCTTGAGTTGAAGACTGGCTAACTTCCGCTAAGCGACTTGGATTGTTAACGACTCGCACGGGCACAACTCATTTTCGTATGAATTCATGCAGTGACAATAAAAGATAAGTGAAGAAATAGAAGAACCGTCTTGAGAGTTATAAGTCATAGTTCATAGTCAAGGTTCTTAGTATTGAATACAGTATAACCACGTCAGGATGTGTGAAGCGAGCACATAAAGTCTACAGCCAGACTATGCTAATATGGCTATATTAAAGGCTTTTTGTGTTACTTATAACTGTGAAGTGAAACACACTTGTTAACGAGAATACAAAGCATATTATATCGAATTAATGTTAACTGAATGAATGTTAGAGTTCTGACATAAGCCTTAACTTGAGCCTCTAAATAAATTGTATTGTTAAAATAAAAAAAAAATTGTTGAATTAACTAAACGCTAACTTGACTTGCATTAGTGGCACTCATTTCAGATGCTCGCTTAAGGTGGGTGTCAAGCTAAGCAAGCTAAAGAAACGGCTGGTTTATTATCTATCACCAGAGCAAAACAAAAATAGCACCTTTATTAGACTTTTCAGAATAAATGCTATTGATAATTCAGAGCTTCCGGTCCAACAACTGGCCATAACTAATACCATAATCCCACCGCCACCGCATTGTCTACAATTCCAATTGAATTGCTCTGCCGATCGATCATATCATGTGTACATCAAATTTATGTTAAATGTTATCTTTATTCATAAACGCCTCTCCGCTGTCGCCTAAACGGATCACCCTTTCCACGGGTTGCATCTCTAGCCAGCAGGTTCTCTCACCCTTGAAAACGACGGTTCGTGTCGCAATCACTGGTAAATCAAGCGAAGCTGTGTGACCGCGCTTTCATCTAGCACAATTACATTTATTGGCCGGAAGAAGCCCAGTTCTATTTAAATGTTTCCAACAACCTAGAGCTATTGTGGGCCACCCAAGACTATGAGCAATCACCAGTTACGATTAAATGTGTGAGTACGGTAACAACAGTAACATAGCAGTGCTGATATATCTCAAACTAAAATAGGTTCTCGGTTTGGTGAGGTCTCAGAGAATCTGCCAAGTAGCTATTATTAATAGGACAGGCCTCGGACCTTGAACTTACGCACAAAAAGGACATTCTCGATTTTGTGAAGCTACAGTGAATACATGCTTACCTGAAACCGAATGGCCATAAAGGTAGTCTAGATTCGACTCTCGGCGTAGATGCTAATATTTCCGGTAACAATTCGGTCAATAAAAACAGCAATACTACATACAGTCATAATTCTTTCGGACGTTCGGTTTCTCCAGATGGCTCTTATAGTAAGTACCTTTTACACTAACAGGCCTTAACATCAAAGAATATCAAATATCAGTAGCAGGGCCGACTGTAAATGGGAACTTGAGGGTCTCGGCCACTGAATGAGCACCTGACTACCTGAATCTCATCACTTTAATCAGCGATGTGTCGATCCATCGGAAGATAGCGGGTGATCTTAGTCGTGCACGACAGGTCGTTCGGTTCACAGAACTACCGAAGGTGAACTGCTGAGGAAACACGTATAACCAACGCCGTACGGCAGTAAGCCTTTTAAAGTAACAAGATGCTCGACTTTATAGTGGCGGTCTTTATTAACGATGCTTTTTTGTTTCAAACAACTTTACCTGCCTTCTCACTACTAACTGTGTAAAGGAAGGTGAAAAAGTTGTAAATATGGGAGTAGGTCTTAACAGCAGTATCAGCCACAGAACCCGGAAGAACTGTTTTATCGTTTCAACGAACAATTGTTTCGAAAGATCCTGGGAAAAACTTAGCAAAGTCGTATAAACTATGAAACTTCGTTGGATTTCGGCGTGTCAGGTCGCATAATTGTGGTACTACAATCAAAAATAAATGGTCGATCTAGGCCATGCTTAATGAATACTGCTCATGCTATTCAGTTCGAAGTTTCAGAATCGGGCAGCTCTGCTACGAATTCATATCGTTATTAAAATAATGCTCTGCATATCTCATAATAAGAGTGCACAATGAATACGGTTCCTTCATCCAAATAACAGTACACCATAGAAAAAAAAATGGTCAGTAAAAGAAGCTAACGGCCCCGCACAAACATGATTAGTTTTATAGCTTTATAGAAGGACAACTACTACTCTTGAAAGCAACAGCAATTGTTTAATCGAAACAAAAGAAAGGCATTAGCAGTCTAGCTCGAAAAACTAGGAATTTAATCCGGTAAACCTTAAAATCATATCGAGTTGATAAGCTAATTAGGTCGCTTACAATCGAAAACTTGACAAACAATTGAGACGGGACATGTCCAACAGGCAACTCGAATGAGGCTATTTTTGAAAACCCCTTACTACAGTCAAGAAACTATTCGCAAGAGGTAAAAATAATTAGTCATTTAGAAAACGAAGCCTGCTTCGTTCTACTTCATAATGTCGTATGATCTGCAATACTATGCAAGCAAGCTACCTTTCGAAAGGATGGAGACTCGTAAAAGCCACCTAATTTGTCAAGGTCTCTTGTATCCCTTCTTTCCTCCTCAAGGTGATACGAGGCACGCACGTCAGACCTATAACTGCTGTATATCCTGCGACACCTGACCACGGTGCTTATTTGTCTTAATTTACCTGCACACGTGATTTCTAAACCAAACGGTTGCCAGCATAAATAAGAACGGCAGGCATTAAATATATAAAAAGCAGTTTTTTTTTGTAATGCAATGAATGCTTAAAATACCACGGACAAAGTAGAAGCATCAAATTAAACATTGTTCAGTCTATAGCTTATCTTAAGGAAATGATGCAGGGTCACAAAATTATTTTTGCGATTCGAAACTAGGCGAGCAATTTGGCTTTTTGAACAGTAGATTATTAAAAGACGATAATTCCATCCTTTATGGACCATCTTTAGGTTCCATTCGCAAGTTATATGTAAGATATGTGAGCAGTGCTTTGACTGTAAAACCATATGGATTGGTTATAAGGGCAATAAATTATTTTGGAAAAATCCCTCATAGAAAAATGGAAATGGTCCCGTCCGATTTTTTACCGGACCAAGGTTGCATGAACAAGCTCAGATGACCTGCTAATAGGACATTTAACGATAAAAGGTCCATCTGTTTAACCTGCTCAGAAGAATTGTAATCACTCTATTCCAACCACACGTCAACGAACGCATTTGAATCTCGCGCACTATCACGGTAACCCCTTTACCATTTTGCTTTAATCCGTCTTAACAAGCAGTTTCTGAAAGGCCGCGCGATCAAACTGGGCACACTCGACGACAAAATTCGGTCTTCGTTTATTTTCTTGACTATCGCCATTTAACACCTATTTGATGTACAACCCTGAAATTGTTAAATTCGAGGAACCACTAAGGGAACTACCTAAGGCTTCACCCCGTATTCAATCAAGGTACTCACCAATTACCGGAACCCACGATGGCTACCTTGTATATCATGACCTTGTATTTGCAGGAAGCCTCTCAAGAGACCAGGTGAGAATAGGGCAACGACAGTTGGGTTAACGCTAACGTTCTCAAACGACACTTCACAGCACAATGACTAGACCCAACGTTCGAACTCAAGGCGCCGACACCAAGAACAATCTGAACCTGTCCTTACTCTCTGGCGGCGCGGTTGCTCACGCTCTCAGCTATTCCTAGACACACCGTTAAAATCGTTCATGTATCGCCCTCATAATATCGACGGCCTCTCATCTTTCAAATAGCATGCGCCTTGATACCGCCGTCGCGAAAAGCGATTCTCTCTTAACTGAGAGAGAATGTTCGCGACACCGTAGACCTACGGTCTTCGAACTGGTAGTGCAGTGACTGAGTGGCCTTTAGCCACTGTGGACAGTCTAGCTGGCTCCAGCTTACGCAATAGAAAATATAGATGAACGTTAACAACTTTTGAAAGGCCTATGGTCAGTGACGGATTTTAAGAGGGGCTCGGGAATTGGAGGCTAACATTTCGGTCGTTTAGAGATTCAAAAGCACAAAAGTTTTGAGTGAGGATAAACTTTTCATGGAGAAGTAGAACGGTGTAAAGGTTCTTGGCGGGCGGAACAAAATTTCAATTCGCTTGTAACGACGACAACAAACGACAGCGCCATCTAACATCTGTTCGGTGGTCAGGAAAAAATTTATACATGTGTGAAAGGCAGGGTGTATAGTGGCTTAATCGTCAAGTTTGTTTAAATTGGATAAAAACTCTGCTTCCTGATACATGTGAAACAGAGCATATGATTGTTCGTCCGAGTGTAGAAGTTATTTTTCCGGCAGTCAATGCTCACTTCGACGATTTGTTTTGATAAGAAAGAAAGGGCAGGTCCGATTCACAAGATGGCGTCCATGGCAAAGTATGAGACCCGTTCGCCGGATAATGAAAAAGCCAAAAAATACGATCGCCAGCTACGGTAGGTGCCGAGTTGATGATGGAGTCGGCATATCCAGCCTGGCTGGTTAATTAGCTTGACAGTAGAAAGCCATCAATATTAATTAGCAAAATTTACTCAAACCGAAACAAATTCAAATCTTACCCGAAAACTCTCCAGTTTGTTTCGATTCCCGGCAAATTTTTTTTATTTTTTAAGTTGATGGAATATATAACCGCGACACGTATTATTTTCGATATTATTAGAAAAATACGCATAATCAGGAATCGAAGCAGTGGATATTCGAACTATGAGCGCGAAACATGTATTGACATTTTATACAATTTTTTTTCGTCGCTTAGGTGCTTTCAACACTGTAATATATTGGTATAGAAAGTCATTCTATAAATCTTTAAAGAGTCGCTGTGTCTATTTGCGCTCACCGCACCGTGCATGCGAAAAACCGTTGTCAACGGAATGTAATCGAATTAAATGCATTTATTGAAAGTAAAACGTATACCTAAGATGCATGATTATTTTGACGATAGAAATTACTCGCATGCTTATTTTGACTATTAAGGTGTTTAAACTTATTTATTAGTTTCATGCGAATATCTCAGTCGGTACGCATAATTGATTTAATTTAACCAAACGATTAAATGAGATGCAAAAAAATTTATTTGAATCTATTTACGTTTTCAAAGTGCTTGTTGTGGATGCAAATAGTTTTCCTATTACATCTGAATTTAGCCTCATTAAAAATCATTTAGAAAAAAAAATTTCATGCTACTAATTTGAGTGTTGCGTAAGAATTAATTTTTACTTGTTTCCGTTTTTTGTCCATATTGCAGGCTGTGGGGCGACCACGGTCAGTTCCTTCTTGAAAATGCTCACGTCTGTCTCATCAATGCGACAGCTGTCGGAACTGAAACATTGAAAGGCTTAGTTCTACCTGGAGTGGGGAATTTCACTATCATAGATGGCCAATCTGTCAGGTAATTGTTTTAAAGAGCGATAAAATCGTACTAAAAATTTACAATATATAGACTCCTAGGCTAAGTGAAAAAAGTGCCTTTTTTTACAAAGAAATCGTCTGGCCTGGTTTGAGGATATGGTATAGGAAAACTAGTCGACGATCGAACTCTATAGTTCATATTCGGGTTAGTAAAAGTTTGACCCATCTTTGCGCGGAAAGCACCGCTTCTACTAACCACTAGATGGTCTGCTACATCTCAGCAATCAATTTTTTGCTTTAACGTCTGCCTGGCTGTCTGTCTGACCTCAGTAGAGTTTTAAACAATTATTTTAGGTCAGTGGAAAAAATGGTGATGGTTTTTGATGCAAGCATTTTGTATGGTGTACCTGGGTCATTTTCATCTAAAAAAAAAGGCTCGAAACGGCCTCTTGTAGTTTAAACGGTGTCACCCTTTTGTCATTTGTGCTGCAATAACAACTGCTATCATCTGGTATTTTGGTACGAATTTTGATACAAAAGAACAATGTTCAGAAAAACGTGGGTGTATATCGTTGTTAATTTATTCACTTTCAAGTAGCACTAAGTGCGAATCAACTAAGCCAATCATCCGCTGATGCATTGATTGTTATTAGGCTGTTACAAACAAATGCGGTGGCCTTTTAAATTGAGTCGGGCTAGTATGATCATTTTCCCAGAAGTATTCTCCCTTAAAGCCAGCGCTGTGACGGTTCCTTGATAGCCAGCTTCCTACCATTCGCGTTTCCATATTTAATTTTTTTATGGCTTTTCGAAGCCGATTGAGAGTGGGATAAGCTTACCCATCATCTTTTTAGGGCAATCCGTAATCACACCAACCAAGATTGTATGAAGAAGTCGGTTGAAGCTGATGTTGGAAACTCAATGTAGCCAGTAACTGAGGCTGCATTCATTGTTCCACTTTCGGCATGTATCTTATAATAGCAGATGATCCAGATATGGATTGCAAACATTCACGTCCAAACCTACTCGAAGCTCCCACCGAATTAGATCTCTCTCTTTCTTTGTCTAGGATGACGCTATTTTCTCGTCTGGTCCCTCTTCGGTTAGCGGTAGAGATCGAATATATATCGAATAGTGCCATGTTTATAGAGACTGTATTCTCCTACAATACACCACACGCATTTACAACTGACCTGCAATCGATTCACGGTTTCCCATTCTTTACTCAGTTTTTCAGCATCTTGAGTACATGGGTTATAACATGTGAAATATGAATTTTGGCCGACAGGGCTGCAAACTATGTTTGCCTTCTGAACGCATTTCTATTGGAATAATCTCAATTGGTTTCCACTCACAGGTGTCTAAATGATTGGAATATTCACCAAACAAATTTACTCTGTTAGAAGCGTGTAGCTCAACGGTTCGGTTTAAAATCCTCTATCTGTTAAACATAGCAAAATATTCTGTTGTCTCACTTCTTCGCTAGCCAAAAATATGCATTTTTTTAGTTCTACAGTAAAAAAGAATATTACCCCGGATCGCGACGATATTTTTCAAAATAGTGCCGCGTCTCGAAAAAACGCTCAAGTATGTTGTTCTAATCTTCAATGAAGTTTGTGTTACAGCCTGCGTCCCGATTTGAACCCCCCAACCAATCTTTGTCTATTCATAACTATTGACTTCAAAATTGTTCACTTTAAAGTCACTTTGAAATTGTTAATATTATTATGATTAACTGGTATTACAGTGGCGAAGATGTGGGCAAAAATTTCTTCCTAACGAAAGACTGTATCGGCTTAAACCGTGGCGAAGCAGCCTGCAAGTTACTTCAAGAACTCAACCCCCACGTGCGAGGTCACGTTATTGATGAGGTTGGTCCGATTTGTCTTTGCGGCGCCTCAAAGGGTTGCACTAGTTAAAGCACGAATTTGAAGAGAATATCATGGAGATGTCTGTTTTATTTATACTTTAATTAATTAACATATCCTATAAAGTTTGACCTCGGTTGTGTCGTATCAGCTTTTTATTTAAGAAATATGTTATACAAAAAAGATAGATTTTTACCTCAAATCGAAGTGTGCGTGATTAACAAAAAAGAAACGTAGGAAAATAAATTCGTATGTTCGCGCTCTTTCTCAGGACTGTGAGAGTCTTTTGTCGACGAACCCCGAGGAGTTTTCCAGATTCACTGTGGTCGTTGCTACTGGTCTCTCTGAATCTACTCTGGTCAAGCTGAGTCGTCGGCTTCACGAAATCGGTGTTCCTCTGCTGGTTTGCCGAGCCTATGGTCAAATTGGCTATTTACGGCTGCAGACCCCGGAACACACCATTGTCGAAGTTCGACCAGGTTAGCAATGCACATAAATATGCCCGATGTTTTTATTTCGACATTTACTGTTTAGGGGGGTAATCCCTTACAGTTAACTGTAAAAATTTAGATGTTATAGAATGTACATACTCTACAATATGCTACCCTAGACCTTTCGTGACGTTATCTGTTAAGTTTACAATTATTTTTCTCTCATTTCTCTCATATTTTCATATACAAATCTCTTTGGCAAAAAGACGTTCACCATCAACTAATCTTTCGCTAAAACACTGTTGCTGCGTCTTGTATTTTTGGCACCCTTTAAACTTTTCTACTGCGAACTTGCTTAATATTTACAGATAATGACTTCGACGACCTTCGGATATCGGCTCCTTTTGCTGGACTTCGAGAGTACGTCGATTCCGTGAAACTCGAACAGCTCGATAAAGCCAAGCACGCTCATATTCCTTATATTGTAATTTTGCTTAAGGCTCTCGATCGTTGGCAAGAAAAAGTAAGGAAGGAGCAACTCTAATAAAAGAACAGGTGTTGAGAATTTATAGAATGAGCTAACAATTAGGAAATGGCAGTTGCATGCAAGCATTTTTATAGAACTATCGGTGTTATGGGACGTCATTAATGAGCTCACAGGTCGCCTCTGACTGTAGAACCCTCTAGTACCATGTAAACGCTTAAAACTAAACGAAAAACAGAAATAGATGACTGTCGGTTTTTTCAGAATGGAACTGACCAACTACCTTCGGCTAGAGATAAAGAGTTCAAAGAAATCGTCAATTCAATGAGGTTTAAGGTGAGTAATTTTAAAAACAAAGAAGATACTGGCTGGCATATCTGTTTACTCTTTTTTACGTTGATTGTTCTAAGTTGGATTTTTCAACCGTTCAACTGTTTGCGAACCATATTACGGACCGCTATATAGTGATATTATCACTTGAGATTCTGTACTACTGTATATATATATATTCAGGCTAAGATGGCATCTGCTCGTAGCTAGATGACGTATGGTACGTGCATTCGCTGCTATTTGTGGCACTAAAAAAAACCATGTCTTTTTAGAACAACTTCACAAGCTCCTCTCGGTTGAAATGGTAGGATCGATTTCGGAATATGGACAAAGAATAGCTGTTACCAAACGTCTTCGAATAAACAATAACGGCAAGACATGACAGCAAATCTGCTGGAAGAACCGCTTAAGTAAATGAGAAAAGCTCAAAAGTGAATTTTCACTGGTCTTCGTATTTGAATTTTACTAACAGCAAAATTTCACGTGGTGTTGGATACCTCGACTTTTTTTTGGTCCAGTAGCAGGCTGTTCCTTACAATTGCTACTAAAGATATGCGTCGTGAATACTTTTTTAGTTTTTGGAAAGGCTATAATTCTTTTTTAATGAAGATTACCCGCGACAGATATACTCTTAGGTTTCATAAAAATCACATCTAAAAAACATATATTTTTAATTAATGAACAACAATTTTGCGATTTTGCAAACAACTGGGCGATGGAGACCCAGACAAACCGAATATTATGTCCAGGTATACATTTGTCGTTTAATTGACGTGAGAAATAACGGCAACTTTGTACATAGTAGCCAATCTTAAATGCTTATATTTACATTTGACTAAATCGTATAATTTCACTACCCTGGTTCCGGCTGAACTGCATAATTTCACCTATGCCTTGTTTATTAATATTACTACTATTATTGTCAAAGTTTACCTTGTATCCTCTAACAGACCGAATGATGTCGCGCAAATGTTTTATCCTTAGCCAAAGCCCGATGACGACATACCTCATGTCGAACCTCTAAATTTCGATCAGGCCTTAAAGTCACTGGGACGAGCATTGCGTCCCCTTCAAGTTCCCGTAGAAATAAAGACCTTGTTTAAGGATCCTGCGTGTGAAAACCTGACTCCAGAGGTATGTCTAGACATGTTAAAAAAAAGCTATGCATACTTCCAGATAGGCCCAGACCTATTTTAACGAAGTAAAAGTACCAGGAAAATGTGTTAATTTATGCTGCAACTCTCAGAGCCATTGTTGTGATACGAGCTTCCAGTTAATAATAAACAGATGTGTGTAGTTGTCGTACATCGTAAATGTATAGATATATCTTGTTGTGGGACTGCAATATTATTATTGAAAACTATATTTTGTGAACGAACACCAACATCGCGATACTGGTCATTTATTGTTCGGGTACATTCTGTTTACCCTTACAGAGCTCACCATTTTGGATCATGGTGCACGCCTTGCGAGAGTTTGTCAGTTCACATGGCTATTTGCCGCTTCGAGGTGCAATACCAGATATGGTATCAGATACTGACAGTTACGTTGAACTGGCTAACATTTACAAACGTGAGGCGGATGCGCACGTCGAGGAAGTTTGGAAAATGGTGGGAGACCTGATAACGGAATTAGGGAAGGTTCGTTCACTCTTTCTTTCTGCAACAGCAATTGCAGAATAATCTTTCAATTCAAAGCAAGTTCCACAATTAAGCCTTAATACATATACGGATGACCTGGAAGAAATAGTCATGGGTGCTCCAGTTGTGTGTATATGCATATATGCTATACCTATTAAATTTTAATTATTACCCAGGTCCTCATTGTTTTAGAAGTCTGCATTCGTAAATTGTAACGTGTTTGACACCGACGTAATTTAGCATTAGGCAACTAACGAAACTAAGTTAAGTCTTTATCATGGCAACATGGTCATCCTAAATATCGTTTACCCCATCTTAATTATTCCACTTGCTCTTTTCACTATACATATGTAGTGTAGTGTTTATAAAAATACACCTATATTGTAAGCTCTCTCTGCTGTTTTTCCTCTAACGTGTTGACCTATGGCGACGTTTCAGCCACAAAATACAATATGTGAGCAAGACGTCCGGCTTCTATGTAAGAATGCTCATACTTTGGCAGTTATCCGGACGCGGCCAATTTTTGAGGAACTAGAAACGCCCAACGCGCAGTACGTCTCACAGAAGTTGCAGGATACCAGCTTAGTGGAAGAGCCTGATATCATCTACTATATCTTATTGCGAGCTGTTGACAGATTTTATGAGGAATTCCGACGTTATCCTGGTTTCTTCCGAGATGAGCTGGAAACAGACATTCATAAGCTGAAGGCAATCTTCAGTCGACTCGTGCAGGAGTGGGGTGTCGGCCCCCTCAGCAAGGATGATCTTATACATGAAATGTAAGTAGAAAATTATTAAATCGATGTAAGCCTATGTATACAATTAGTGCTGACATGATATAAATGCAAAATTTGATTGTTAGAATGTTTGTCGATGAAACATAGTTTCTAAATCGACAACTTTCTTCCAGTAGAACAAATTGGTTTCGCATCATTTTCAAGTGCAAAATTATCACTCAGGTATTGATTTGTGCGCATCTAGGTCTAATCAGTTCTATTCTTACGGCGGAAACGTTTTTTAGGCCAACTGCCGGCGTCTTTTTTGATTGAATGAAACTGCATTTGCGGTATACATATTACACTACTATTTCAGGTGTCGTTTCGGGGCGTCTGAACTTCATACTATCGCCTCCGTTATGGGTGGTTGCGCAGCTCAGGAGGTCATTAAAATTATTACGCATCAATATGTGCCGATTAACAACACGTACGTCTTCAACGGAATAACTTGCACGTCGGAAACCTATGAGCTTTAAGCTAGGTCAGACTGCAATCATTCGCATTCTTTTTTTATGACAAGATCTGACCTGGACATGCACGCCCATTTATACAAAAATGGGTGTGCTATATATATATATATATAGCGCAGATTTTATGGTGGTCAGGGTGGGTCAAGCTAAGCATGCAGTAGAAATTTTTCATCAAAAATCATTTCATATTTGGGAAGCAGGACTTCGCGAGCGAAAAAGAAAGAACAAAACGAATAGATATAATAGATTAGCTCCTATCAACTTATTACAAAGAAAACAGTAATGAACGTCTCTTGCGCGTTTGCATCGCTTAACATGTTTATTTGGTTGGCTTAACTTTGCTCCAGAACATCATCTATCAATTAGTTTGCAGAAAGAAAGCATTTACAAGTTTAGCCTGGTTTTTCATGCTAGCTACATCCCAAGTTACTAAGATAAAGGTAAGTTAAATAAATAAAGATAAAAGCAAGGGGCTTTTATATATATATCGTATAAATGGAGTATTCTCGAAAGTTACACCTATGTAAATGTCGTTAAGTTTCTTAACGTTTTCTTGCATGCGACACGTACGTGGTAATTTTCATTAGTTGACCATGATGGCAGTAACAAATTGTAAAGGTGTTTAAAACAGGCAAATTACGAAGATACCAACGTTCTTGGGTGTTCTTTACAGCTGCCAGAAATGCGTTTCATATACCTGTCAAAAAGCGCACTGTCTGTACGAATGCAAACAGAACTAACGCATGCTAAGGGCCTGTTTGAGTAATCAATGTGTATATATATCTTGTTCAACAAATCAAGAACGCTGTAGATGTAACGATAACACTGTAATAAAAATAAAAAAATAAACTTTTGTCATTTTTTTATATAACGTGTCCCAACGTGCACCTTTATCTCCGCCAATTCTCTATCTCTGCTGTGCTGCCAATTCGTCTGGTTGAACGATGCTTCGAAAACATCTTTCGCACCAATGCAAACTAATATCTTATATTTTACGTGGCAGTACATTCGCATTTGGGCGATACTTGCATGTCATATTATACCCCGATAATTGGCGATGGCGCAGCCTGAATTGAAAATGAAAAATTAGTATTGTGAATTACAGTTCTGTACAGTTAGAAGTCACCGTCTAATTATTGTCAGTTTTAAAGTAAGGAAAAAAGGAGAAGCGCTCAAAGCTCATTTATACTAACTCAGATAAAAGTTATCATCAATAAGAGGTTGGCGGCATGTCAACGCGTTTATCAAAAGCGGCCGCTGTGAACAATGTTGTAAAATCGTTCGTTTGGAAAACAAATATAAAATTGGAGGGCGCGCACTTCGCAGCGACCCTCCTAGCTGTGACCCACAGCCTTTTCATTTTGTAGATAACACCCCTCGGACGGGGGGATAGAGAGCTCGAACCATTTCGGTTGCCCTCTGTAGAGGTTCATCGGCCGTCTCATGTATCCTTTTCCTTAAGGTCATTCCCTGAACAATAATCGCCCAGAGGCCCGGGTTTCTGGGTGTATAGACAGTACTCAGGTAGTCACCGACATCGAGATCACTCTTGCGGGGGGGGGAACAGACGGGCTCTCGACATTTTTAGGAGCCAGCGTGGTCCAGGCAGAACTGCGAGCTCTCTCCTTACACTTAAGGAGTTTCTAATGGCGCCGCAGGCTAGGCCCACACAACCGGCAGCGTGACAGGCCTGATACCTGTGTCCCCGAAGGGACAGTATTGGAGGGAAGGTCGCCATGTTATATAGGCTAGTCAGCTGGGCCGAGCACGGGGTATTGGCGCGAACGAAAAGAAATAGCAAGTTATTTTATGGTTTAGACATTTCGATACAGGTGTTGACTACAGAAGGCATGTGCCCTCGGTGCCAAGTGGTTTTATAATGTGAGCGTAAACAGCGGACTTTAGAAATCTTAATCGCATATCATTTTTCGGCAAAAATTTTCTGTTGTGGGCGGGGCACAGAAAGCTTCTATGATCGGCGTATGCGCTCACAATTGAACACTAGTAAATATAGAAGTTCGGTGTAAAATATTCAAACGTTATATTGTATATATATAAAAAAAAAAGCATAGCGCTTTATGAATTATTACAATATTTTGCAAACATGAAAAGCTAATAAATAGTTACGTGAATAAAATCCGCGTAGTAGTGGAACGAGAGGCTTATGAATTTCTCCAGATCTTGTGTCTGTATTGCATTTGAGTATGGCGCGCGAAATCGTCTTGTTTAGAATTCGGCGGTCTTTGATGGTTTCGTAATGAGAACCACAACAGCTCAGTTTGACGGACACTTTTTGTGAAGAGTATACCGTGTGAATATTTGTGTCTGAAAAATAATCTAATCAGAAGGCAAGTGACTAAATGCTTGATAGTATTATAAATTTTTCTATAGCATTCGGAGTGGGCCAACAAGTCTCAACATTTCACTAAACATCCTGTTGGTCAATTGTCGAAACTAGTTGCGAAATTGTAATTTTCTATTGTGTCTATGTTTTTGCCAAGTGTTTTTCTGCCAGTATGTTATTGATGATATATAGCAAATAGAGTGTCGTTTAATTTTAGCGCAAGTAAAAGTGATACATATTTATCTGTTTTACATATTCTTTGAGATGCAAATATTTACATTTATTTTCAAATATTTCGAATATGGATTGCTTATAAATCGATCCTTTTCGAAAGATTCAAGTACTGTCGGCGATACATTTCTTGGAATTACACATTGATGTAAGTAAGAACGATGTGAGTTCTCTTGCCGAATTGCGGTCAAAGGAACGTTCGACAAACACAAGTGTGATAATTATTGTACGGAATTGTCAATTACTCATGTACTTGAGGGAACATAACGTTGTTATTAGTTAGTAGTGTTTTTTTATTAATGGTGACTAAATAACTGTACGATTGACTGCTAATCGTGCTTTAAAGGCAGCTTGCAATTGAATGATGTCTTGAAGAGTGGAAGTGCGTGGGTGTTATACTTCATATAGCGATCTGTAAATGAAGTGATTCCGTATTGGCTTGTTGCCTATACAAATCTTTGGGCGTATACCAATAGGAATATGTGGCTGTGTTGCCGAAGATGCTGAACAAGCTTGTGCCACTAACTGGCAAGTATTATCCTTCCGCCTCAGGACAAAAGATCTAAACTCATCTGTGTTGCTTTACTGTCGTGTTGTACAGACACAATGCGGGTCTATTCTCTTGCTGAATTTCCCCCACCACCTGCGTTGGGCAAAGTGACCTTGGAAGAGTCCGATGGCCTCGTTTACAGCGAAAAGGAATCACCTGATGTTCTACGTGTATTTCAAGCCGATGTGGTATATATTACATCAAAGTGAATATAGGGTATAGTAGTAGATTTTTCGGGGCATACGTGGCGTGCAGGCACCATTTTTTTTAATAGCTCTTCAAAATATAACCGATCAGTAGTAAAACTAATTATAGTAGTCGAATGCGGGTCAAATACAGATGTAGGACGAAGACCTATAAATAATACAAAGCTGTGCTTTCACAAGGACATCTACATTTTTTATTTAACTGATTTTGGAAAATAGTTCTAATTTAGAATACAAGAACCAACATGCCTGTCCCTATGCTCAAATTCCGTTCATCAATAAACTTTTCGAAACCCTAGTGTATTATAACAGTAATACGAACTCATGATGATTATTACGATATCCCTCAATCTAACATGACACTTCCGGTCTGCCATTTAACTGGAGTTCCCCGAGTTGACGTTCATACGTATCCAAGATGAATTGGCTAGGCCTTCGTCAACAATATCAATGTCTGCGAAAAGCTGCATTCTTCGTCAACAGCCAAGTGACCAATGGGCCCAACTCTGTGAAGCATACGTCGACCACGGTCTTTATGGCCTTCTTGATCATCTGTCAACAGCTGAAACGACCGCTCCACTAAGCGTTATGGCGGCGCCCGCGCGTCTCTCTTTGAAATGCTACCACTGCGCTGGTCGAGTATACACGTTCCTCAGAGGGCTTCTTTTCCCACAACTTCAGGTAGCCACACTTGCCAGTGAGCGATAGACAGTATAAAACACCCGCTATTGATATAGTTTCTAATCATTTTGATAGCATGTTGCGAACAAGCTCTCAACGAAACAGGTTATTCCCAATTATTTTGAGGGAAATTAAGTGGCTAAAAGTGCGATTTTTCAGCAAGGTCTACATTACGTGTCAGGCTGCAAGAAAATGATGTGCATAAAGTTATCACCCTACTCTGCTGCATACTGTCATTAAAATGAATGACCCACTTTTGTCAAAGGTTAGGCAGTTAGATGCGAATTCAAATACAATCTTACGTATTTCTTCACATTTGTTTGCGCTTCTATTCGCCAGCTATCTCCGGAGGAGATTTGCTCGAAATATTCAGAGGTAGCCAACTGGCGTTCCGGGAACGTACGTGCATTGGCATGGCACCCTGGGGCGAAAAAGCTAGCAATCGCCCTACGAAACGACTCGGTGATCTTGTATACTAAAAACTCCGCGATCAGCTCGGAGTTAAAACATCCCAAGCAGAAGAACGTTACCTGCGTCGCTTTCAGGTAAGAAATTTTTTTTTGCGTTTGAGTCAAGGTGGGTCAACCGAGAAACTGAGTAATAAACATGTTAACAAACGATGGAAGCAAACCAATATCGTGTTTGTTATTGTGTAACTATATACACAATAGCGTTCCGTAAGCACCTTGATTCCCCTTATTTGTGCGGTACTTTGTTTCGACTCGGTGTTCACGTTTGACGAGGTTCCTATGGAATACTTTCGTTCATGTATTTTGGCTCTTCGTTTTAAATACTTGCAGACCGTTCAGTGGCTCGCATATCGCGGTCGGTTGTGAGACGGGTTTGCTGTTGTGGAACATTCCGGCCGCGATCGTCGTGAAAACTCCTACCATGCATTCAGCCACGCAATTTCTCCCGGGAACCCTAATCAGTTCCGTAGCTTGGCATCCCGCCGGAAGTCTTCTGGCAGTGTGCTCGGCTCGTTTTGGTGATATAAATGTAAGACCACTGTTTGGTTAGAATGTCATTCGATGTACTGCAAGTGATAGGAGAACGAAATAGCGACGGGGTGTGTTACGATAAATTCCCACCTCGAATCCATCTCGAAAGGATTTAAGTGTTTTTAACTAATTTATTGGATTATGAATATTTGCAGGTATTTGACGTTGCAACTGGGGAAGCTGTTCCTTTGACGACGTTTTCGCTTTTACCATCGGCTCATTTACTGCGATGGTCTCGGGACGGTTTCCGGATTTTCGCCGCATGTCCGAACGGCGGGTTCAACATCTGGCAAGGAAGTCCCGTATGGGATGCGCAAAGATACAGTAAGTCAGTTATCTCCAGAAGAATACGTTTTTAGTTATGTGTTAACGTGTAGTTTCCGTGTAGTTTCTTTATTAGATGTTTCGAGTTGTTTTGTATTGCAGTTAAAAATGGGAGCTTCCTGAAGTTACCTCTGCATTATGACAAAAGCACAAATATTTTATCCGGCCTTCATAATTGAAGTATCAATCGGCGACGATCTCCACCCGTGTTGTCTTTCTTTCTCTTTCATGCCTTACTGCTATGGTTGTTTCCAGCATCGAAAGTTGTTACGACGGGATGCTGGAGTTACGATGGATGTCAGCTCTTATTTACGGTTGAAGGCGATCCTAGCGTTTATCAACTCAGTCTTAACCCTGTTGGAGAACCGATGGCCGCGATACCCAGGCCGCGTGCTATCATCAGTCTTGACGGCCATCCTGATGGGTTAGTACATTGTGGAAATGCGACGAAGACATTTTTTCGCATAGCGACAAGCATTTTGTTGGTCTTTGTACTTGTGGTTCCTGACACTTTTTCTTCAAATGGCTATGAACTTGTTGTTCCTGTCACTTTTTCTTTAAACGGCTATCTTGCAGAATTTCGGGAGAGGTTTCAATCATGGAGTGGGAGCGCAACTGCCAAAGGCTAGCAATTGCTTTCAAGCATCCCTCAAATTTGATTGCTATCTTCTCAACAAAGATCAAACCATTGTTCGATATCAAACCACTGTAAGTATAGTGTCATCGTTCCCGTATTTACTGAAACTGACATTTAAGCAATTACTGTCTTAATTTGCTGGGTGGCCGCGAAACATGTCAATGCAGGCATGTTAAGACAGCTGTTCCAACAAATTTTAGTCGACCTTTGAACCTTAGTGAAGGTGTGTACGTGTGTACAATTGACTGTCATGTGACGTCTCTAGCTTTGCGCACAGTAAGGTATAGCCCTTTAACCACAAAACTTATTCTCTTTTTATCTGCACCGGGATATACCATAATGACAAGCAAGATTTTTTTTAATTTTTTTAATTTTCTTTTTTTAATTTATATTTTTAGAGGTTTCTTCCGTGGACCGTCTTCTCCCGAAGCGATGAAGTTCTGCGAGGACCAACAAGAGGGCGGGATCCTCACTGTCGTACGTAGTTTGCTTATCTTTTTCTCTCTGGCTCTCTTATATATTATATCCTGTATGTCAATTGGTGATGAATGAAGTAAAAGGTCTGAGTCAAAGGTTTCCGCTCGAGCTGTGGGCGTACGCTCAGCCGCTGCTGTGTCAACTTAACAAAAGAAAGCACTACTTGTTAAGCTATTTTGCAGTGGACAATATTATGAACATTTTTTAGTAGGCACTTGATCCAATCCCGGTTTTACTAGGATTTAGGTATTATTGAAGGACAGACAAACCTCTACTGTGCTTCCTGGCCACTAGCAAAGTGCAACAGAATAATGTGCTGGCGCAACAGGCAATTTTGCATGTTGTGCCTGAACTGAGAGTACCCTCCAGCTCGAGTGGAGAATCTGTTGATATCATATGATCAAAACTGCAACCTGATCATAAAAACATTTAAATAAAAATTTTGAATGAAGACTCATGTTTCGGTAAGTGTGTATACTAATTTCTGTTTTTATCTTTGGTAATACGCGCTCCCTGTGACGATGGGTACATCAAACAACGATTGCATCCGTTGTCATCGATTCTAATAATCGCGAAAATCCATAAACCTGTTCCACATCTTCGTCTATATTCTACGCCTGTGGTCGACGACGCGTTTTCATGAAGTGCTGGTCGAGCGGGCAAGTTCAACACATTCCAATGCACTTTGAAGTGCCTGCAGGGGACCGTTCAATTGTCCTCAGTCGGGCTGCCGTCGGCGAACTCAGTGGCGACTTTTCCAACGAATCTCCCCAGCAGTCACAACTATATTAAAGTGGACTTTTTAGATAATTGGTATAGCCGTGGCAGATTTGATTGGGTAAGGGTGGATGAGTAGAATGAATATTTGCACGCTGAAATTTACGAATTATTCCGATGGGCTAACCTTATCCGTGTTGCAAGCCGCTGTGAATAATGGACAGTTCGTTATAAATGCTAACAAAGAAAGCCTTGTTATCGTTACCAACGGTACGATACTTGTAACTTTTAAATATTCAGGTACAACAGGTTTCGAAAATCGGAAAAATATCACTATTGTACATCTCTGAACATGTTTCGTAAGTAATACAGGTACTTAATCGTTTCGGTATTTGAAATAGGTTAGTTTAGCTGTAGCTGAAGAGATCAACGGAGTATATCTAGTTTTAAGGAACGAGTAAACGACGTTGAACTAAATGGAATGCATGCGTATAGGCCTGACAAGTCATAGCAGGTCAACTCGCGAATTCGACTACATGTCGATAATGAGTAGAACGAACGAAAATTGTATGTATGAACCTCACATCATGAAGTGGATGTCGAAGGATGCTTGAGAGCGTAATTTTCGGTTGTTTGCTGTTTAGCCTTATGATAAGGAAAAGGTTACGCATGTTAAATAAGGTTATCTAGTGCAAGTTATGGCATTATTTTATACATGTTTTTGTACACCATGTAAATACAGAAAAAAAGACGTATTTTATATAAATAAAAGTACGGAATGAATACAATTGTTCTTTATTTATGAAAAGAATTGTTTAATTCTTTATTGCTTCAATATATATATATATATATATATATATATACTTGTTCTTGTGGTCCTCTCTGATGTTAACAGACACGTTTGTTGATAACGCGTTCAAATGTGCTCATTCGTAGTAGCAAGTATTTGGTACCGGTTCTACTGGACTTTTGGTTTTTGGTTTCGTTGTATTAAAGCAGGGCGCAATAGGTTAAAAGAGGTTCGCCACTCGCCAAACTCATATATACGGCGAAATATCACGCGATGTTTATTAGTCTTCATCCACATTCACGCAGTATGCGTGATGTTCGGCGACCATCCTCGAAGCCGGCGACACAGATGTGACCTATGTTCTTGTGCTATTGGGCTAGACTATCGCACGTAGTCTACGTCGTCTATGCGATGTTATAATGAAAAACTTAGCCCTTTGACAGCTACCGTTGCCATACAGGAAATCAATGTCACGAAGCGAGATTAAAGCTGTAAACACTACTTTCGAACAGAAGCATTTAGCTAGTTTTTCGTAAAGGAACATGTAATCACATGACAGTGCGAACTGCCTGGTAAATATCGTGGTTACGGACTGCAAAGAAACCAAATATCTACTTACGGGGAAGAACAGTATTCAAACACAGCTTCATACAGCATAAATCACGGACGTCATTATATTTTTTGTATGCATCAGAGTCTGTTTATAGCTGATGGCACTAACAAATTTTACGAATATAAAAAACGAGTTCTCCGCAAAATCAATTATTTTATAGTATTTGATAATAGGGTTACAGAATTATAGGATTTGATCGTGCGTTTCTATCGGGCGGTCAAGTTGTTATTTTTTACTACGGGTTATCTTCAACCTATAGTACAGTGACGACACTGTACTAGCGACAATGCCACTGTGAACACAACGGCGTAGCAATAGGAGTCCCATGTTCATGTAAGCTTGGCCGAGTCACAGCTAAATGACAATTTTTTTGAGCAAACGGAACGCCATTTCTTCGTTATAAGACATTTGTTTGCGTTTTATTTTCGTTTGCTTAATTATATCGAGAGGCCAACTACAAAGCACCCGTTTCTAGCTGAACTTGATATTTAGCTGTGTTTCTTCGAATATTCTCTTGCAACTTATACGCCCTCTCTTGAGTCGCTTGAAGAACCGAGTTGACAACGATAATTTTTCGCTTTGCCACGAGTAACTTCTTGATGTATGAATCGAGTAATGGCGAGGCTCTAAAATTGACCAACAATATATAAATTGCGATCAGACATGTATAGTTACGAAATCTCTTCGCTAACCAGACCACAAGTCTAATAGGTCGTGTAGAAAATGCTTATCCCATCCAACACATCACGCAAATCAATAATGTAACCAGGGAAAAAACGCTGAACTGTAGCATGAGATATAGAATCTATCCAAAATTTCAACCATAACGTAAGCCTTTCAGAATTGTAATGCCAATCATAACTGGATCTACGGGAACAGTTACCTTGTACAATCTGTGATTCTTCGAAGCTCCACTGATAGAGCATCGATTTGTTCTCCGAGGAGTTGCTGTGATTTCTGGAAAGGTGAGAAATTTACTCCGAAGATCTGCTCTCATACATTTGAGTTATGAATCACTAATTAATTGCTAGTCAGGAATTGGACTCGATTACTAATGATTATTATTATAAAGCTTAATTACTAACAACATCATTACGACTTTATTCAAAATAAGCGCTCACTGAGGCAAAATTTCAACGAATTTTGCTTTCATATTTTATACGGTATCATTCGTGCGGCAACAATATTCCACGCGGTTTTACTCATTGATTAAAAAGCTTAACAAAAAGTCCGATTCTACTGCCTTAGCAAAACATTGCTTCAGGAGGCTAGAGGTCCTTATCAGCATGAAACATTACGGGCTTACTATGCCCAACTTAGACCACCTCATATTTTCATATCAGGTTTAAATAGGCCGTAAATACCGTCACATGAATGTCATCTTTACCTGTGTTTCTGAAACTTGATGTTCGAGCTGCGCAATGCAGGGTGTCAATAAGGCCGTTAGTCCTTCCGTGAGTGCATTCACGTTTTCGCCGCTTTCGTCTGAATTCGACATCTTAAATGTCAAAACGCCGTTCGTCGGATTAATCTAATCGTTACCTGTTGAAATAGAAATGAAGTGTATAAAAAAATACGAACCCTGTCAAAGCGACTAAGAAATAAGAGTGGTTATAAAAAAAGAAAATAATTCCTTCAAACCAGAGCAATCCTTCAATATTTAATACAAGAAAAGACATTGCATCAAACAACGCGGATCTCCCAATGTCAGATACCGCATCTTGGTGTTGTTTATGTGCTGTGTGTACTTGTTATACATTTAGCTGTTATTATTTTTATCATAATTGTATTATATAAAACAGCTACTAAGCAAATGTTTACTTATGTAGGTACGCACATAGTGTATCTAAGTTTCATGTCCAGTACTGCCTTAGGCCTTCACACGGTTGGTTCCTGATGTGAAACAAACTGCACCTACTTCACGTTTCAAGCTTAGACTACCTCCATGTCAATCGATAGGGAAACACCGTATTAGTCTTCGCCTGCCTAGCAAACAAAAATATGGATACAATATGTAAATGTGAAGTAGACACGAAGCCGCTATATGACAGAATAATTGTACCCTACCCATTTTGTTAATCGTTCCAAGCGTTGGCATATGCCAAAGAAGTGCTCACGTATGACGATCAGGAGGACCCTCACCAGCTATTGTAATTTTCTCCAGAAGCTCACAAGCCTATCGTGAAGAACACGTAGGGTTCGAAGTGATCTGTACAGGATTGCCTGCAGAATTTCCTGTTTTATAAAGTAAACTAACGCTAGTGGCAGCAAGGTATATAGTTGCTTGCATAATTAATAATTAAGTGCCTTTTGTGATATTCTCGTAAGGCCTGCGCATACGACAATTTAGCACTTTGTCAACTCCAACGGATTTGGACAGCGGCAAGCGTGTGCATCTCTGTACTGGAATCTATTCAGGATTTTTTTTTTATATAAGCAGGTTTCGGGTAGATTCATGGCATGAGCGAGCCAATGGGCAACATTAGGTATTAACATCAACGATCCTGCAGTACCTTTTTGTGAACGGTTAGGATTGTTCAGTGGTGGGCAGTGGCTTCTACGGAGGTAAAATACTGAGCCTCACATGAAGTAGGTCTTGCGTCTTCAAATCAAGATGCCCAACAAGGAACGCCTGGCCAAATATCATCCTTCGTCTCAAAGCAGACTCAAACAAAACGACAGAATATCCGCTAACGACAATTACAAGAATCCTAGTTGCTATATAACACACATATTATAGTTAAACAAGCTGAAGGCCGTTCGTCAGTATACGAATTCATAATCTCTAATATTCTGAGGTCCATTTTCCTTTATCACAAATTTCTTATTAAGGATATAATCAGCGTTCATAAGCTGTGATCATATACCCTTCCTTATTTACATTATGGACCCATTCTAACTATACCGTCTTACAACGACTGTGTGCACCGGAGAATTTCACAGGATTTAGGTAGTCTGCGGACAAGCTTTTCTATAACAAAATTTACTATTCTGATTAGAAACCGAGGAGTGGATTTATAAACAGGGACTAACTGTGTAATTATTAGTAGCCTTGTTACACTAGTTAAGGCGCTTTCTTAAACACCACTCAATTCAAATAACTAGACATTCGAAAAACCACGTTCGAACTTTGACAGCCCTCGGCGAATCTATAAACAAAGCTAATGTTGTGTTTAGACTTGAGTGGTGGCGGAATGATATTGAGAAAGGCTGGCCCCAAAAAGGAAGTAGATCCGTGTAACTAAAATTTTGTTATAGTCAGCACTTAAGCGTTATGGTTCTCGTGCATAAGAAGAGATGCTCAGTATTTATATAAAATACTGGAGTATAATAATTAAGACTAATAATAATTAAAAAAGAGCATTAATTATATAGTGCAATCTTCGATCTATCAAGAAAAGCTTGATGTTAGACGCCTCGTATTAAAAATTTGAATATTTGGGGGTAAGAATATTTAGGGCATAGTAATACCAGCCAATGTGAGATTTATGAGATATTTCATTCTAGAGAAATGAACGAGCACTTAGCGACACGGAGATGTTAAGATCCGAGTAGGCCTAGAAGTTTTTATCCCGAAGACCTACGAAAATGCCAAAAATTTACTCGGAAAAAATATCCATACACTCTATATAGACACGTGTCTTTCGCCAGGTTTAACTATAGGTTACAAGTCATATCAACACGACTATTAAGCTGCTGCGAAAATAATGAAATTTCACCAGATTTTACCCGTCCAAAAATTAATCGTTGCTTTAATTTTGTATTTGGCAGTGCAATTTAATTGCTTCGTTTTTGTTGATTACGTGGTTGCTTCACTTGTTCTGTTTTGGAAACATTATGGGTTTCTAGTTGTATTTTGCGGCAAACACCAGCTAAATCAAGGTCGCTTACACTGGCAAAACAAGTAACTTAAATAACAAAGTCAGCTGACTTAACAGATGGTTTAGAGCGTAAGATGTTGATAGGGCAGTACACATTCAATAAGAAAACTTTTTAAGCAACAACCTATTAAGCTGCGAGATAGTTAAGAAACGAATAAATCATTATATTAAATCAGTGCTTCCGCGTTGGCAAAAATCTTCAATGCTACGTAGATAAACGCAATGCAAGAGCTAGTCTTCAAGGTAGATTTGTTCATGGGAAATTAGTGGATTGGTTTATAGTTAACGACAAGGCGCATGCATCATATTGAATACGTTATTGCGTTTAGATATACCAAGCGCAAAGCTTATATATTATACAATATCATTGTTACCGTTGTATAACTAGTGGTTTGTTTTTCTGTGGACGAGAATTGTTGGTATTTTTAACGACATTAGCGTTGGAGGCTTCGTTATTGATTCAGCGGGATGTCATACATATATACCTATCGCACTGTCATGAAATTAACACGTCTGCACAAAACATTGATGTTTTATATTGTTCGTGTTCTGCGATTAGTAGCAGAATCTAACGGCGGGTACGAAATGCAAAATTTATTGACAGGTGCTCATCTATGCACCAGCTGGAAGTCGAGACAAGTTTAGAAAGTGGAACTGGTCGGAACATTTAAAGGGAAAAAATTCATAAAACAAAACTGCAGTGTGGTGCTCTTTCTCTATTATTATTAGACACTACCATAGATAGTTCTTATGTGAAAGTTTGACATTGTCCTTATGACTAGTTTTCCTAGAGAACGTTACTATTATTATTATTATCAATATTAGACGCCTAATAGAGAACACTCCTTTACAGTTGTAGACAATTGTATAACGAACATCTTTACATGGAGATGTTTATAATCTCAGATATTAGAGGAAGCTTTTCATTGCTTAGTTACTTTTATCTCATCGACTTTTGGGTAACTCATTATTCATCCTTCATGTTCTTTTAACATCGTTCAAATGGCACAAGTTCTAAAATGTTTTTTTTTTGAATTCGCGCTCTATACAATGTACGTCTTCGCTATTCCATGAAAAATCTCCTTATAGGTTTTTTTTCTATATCGAAAATATAATAAGGTTAAAAAAATGATCCAGTAGAAGGCAGCTCGCAGAGCAGTCTATGCAATGAAATGTTTTGAAGTATTTAATAATAGGGTTTGATTAACATATACTACTTTGGCTTTTTAAGTCGAACAACATAAGGCGCCAAATTTGGTGCAAGCAAACCTAAGTACATTTTTTTTTAACCATAGTTAGATAAAATTTGAATTGTCGATGGTATCGGGTAGCATACAAATCGATACACATGGAATTCACCTGTATCCGAAGTTTGTCAGTGATGAGAATCCCGCGTGTTGTTTGCAAGGGTTACTGAACTGACTATTCTGTTGCAGATCTTCTAAAATGACCGAAAATGTCGCTGAGTTTACTTGGCCAAGCGTCCGGATATCGATCTGGTTCTATGCGAGAAACGGCTGCGTCTGTCTTAGCAGATTCACTTGGATATTTTAAAATCAGTAAGTCATGCTGGGAGTCAGCCAGCCGTTTGTCTGATGGAATGCCAAATGGCGATGGCGGACCCAAAACATGAAACAAAGAAGACTTTAGCGAGTCGTGTAAGGGAACTCTGGCGCACTCTAATAATAATTTTGGAATACTCTTATAACAAATATAATCTTCTGTGAAGATATAAATGATTGTATAAAACATTATTCCCTTAGATTGAATGAATGAGCTTCACGTCAATTGAGTGATCTGAAAGAAATCAGCGGCGTTTTGAAGCATCCTTATTTACTATACAGAGAAGCGGCTTATGCAAATATGGAGGGAGGTCTCTGAGGGACTGGCATGTTTTTCTGTAAAAGAAACAGAACTTTGCAGAGGCAAGTAACGAAACTCGTCCACGAACCTTGGCGACTGACAGCGTACAGAAGAAACGATGTTGATATCCGACCTGGTTCGTGGTTCGGTAACAGTGCCGCCATTCCGAGTTCCACGAACAACCACTGACTCTGGGCGACACCTTACACTCCTTTAGGAGACGCTGCTTGCGATTACGAATCGTTATGTTTATGAAAGAGATCATGGATTGAACGGCTGAGCCATAGCTGCCTTGGAGTGAGGGTTGTCACTGTGAAATCCTGACCAATTAGCAAACCCGATTACAAACGTAACTTAATCATAACGTACGAGTACTTCTGCAGTGTGTAGATATATTGTAATGCTAATTTAATAATAACAGAAACATATTAGTCATATCACCAGTGTTCTGTGCCACTCCCGCTGCAGTAACCTGATTTAATTGAAGTCGGTACGCACGCAATTCGTGAATGCATGAAAGGCCCTTGTGCAAAGGTACTGTCGTTTTTTCTATTTGCGGATTGGTGCGAGATTATGATTTTCAGTTCTTCCGTATGTGATGGTGGCTCATAGTAAAGTTCTATCTCGAGGACGAGCATAAGATAACTTCAGGAGTCACGGGACAAGGATGAATACAATATATACGAACACAAAAAGGATGATAAATAAATGAAAAAAAAAAAAAAAAGATATTGATAGTATGGAAAAAGAGGAAAAAGGAACTTTCTAATTTACCCGTTAGATATGATGATCTTAATAGCAACTTCGCGACGGTTGGCATTTGTAGTGCTTGTGACTCCATCACTATTTATCACTTACCATCGGTGTGAATTTTAGTTAGGCCGATTTCCTATAGCTAAAATTTGTATCTAAAATGATCGTTATTTAAAGCTGAATTTCTGGAAGAATTGCAAAACATTATATCTAGGAAAGACATCGCAAGTTGGCCGTATTTCGAGTAAATAGACCTACTAAGCTCGCTCCAAGCCTCCATTGTCTTCACTGAAGCATGTGACCACCCGACAAAATAAATTTTAAAAAGAGCTTAAAACGCAGTTCTAGGGAGATTTGCTTCTAATGATATAGTGGTCAATAAATTGGATATTATTATTGCAGTGCAACCCATAGCCATATGCTTTTTATGAACTATCTCATCCTAAATACAAAACTACCACCTGGGCATACTTTATTAGAGGAACTCCATATTCAATACGGGCCTTGTAGCACCTCTAAGCAGTACCTATAAAAAATCTCGACCTATTCATATGTCACAACGTGACGCAAATATATGTCGTACAGCGGAGCTCGAATTAGTAATCCCTGCCCTGGCAGTTCGAGACTTTAGTGGCTGATGCACTGTGATAATCCGCAACCATCAAAAAAATATAGTTAAAAAAGATCTGGAGTATAAATTGTCCAAAAACAGCATAAAGTCAGCTTAAGTGCGGTGCCTTATGAAGGCTCTAATTATTGCGTAGAGTACACTCCGTAGGCCTACATGCAGCTCGTTCCCTTGGACGAGCGTGGCAGGACCATTGAACAGATGTTGGTTGCCAATTGTTGATATCAGCTAAGAAAAAAAAATGAGGACCTTGTCAGATGCTTATGAACTAGAGAGTAACAAGCGAATCAATTACTTGGAAAGGCGAGCATTTGAAGTAATTAGACACATTGCTCAAACTGTGTGACCCTAGGCTTTGTCAGGAGAACGTGTCATGCCGTAGTGTTTGCTTTATAAAGAGCCCTCAAAATATTGTCGACATAGCACGAGTTATTCCCATTATAGATCACCTAAAATTATACAAATGGAACTTTAGACGCTATCAGACGGATAGATCTGCTGCTGCGTGCTTTCCTTCGCGGAAAGCTCCACCTCATGGCGATTATTGGAATAATAAAGCTTCCGCACGTTATACGCATTTATAGCAACTAACCTTTAAGCCGGCGCACCCGATTATACCTTTTGTTTCGAAGACTCATAGTTTTAAAGTTTATACTTATATAGGTTCCTTATATAGATTCCTGAGCACTGACTACCGGAATTTTTGTAGGAGTAACCTTAATTAGGACTGATACAGCATAAGCGGGAGTGCGAGAAGTGCCTTAACTGGCATTCCTCTTGATAGAACGATAACATTTGATGAAACTCAATAATTGATGTGAAAGGATTTTTGACATTTGCAGCTTTAGCTGGTGGCGTAAGACGCTATTCAAATTGATGATGTAACATAAGATCAAAAAAGCTGTATGAGTACTTTTTTCCTAATTCAATTGTATCTCTACGTGATTTAATTGTTTTTTTAACTTTTTATGCATGATTTCTAGATCGATTGTAGCAAATGCAATGCCTATCGT